CCCCTCGAAAGTCAAGGTGGCGTCGGACTCTTCCGCGGCGCGTGCTATTGCGCCGCGCCGAGGCGCTGGGGGGCTGAAGCGCGTTCAGACCCGTTGCCTGTGGGCGCGGGAGAGGATCGTCATGCAGCGCCCGGGGTTGGGCAAGATCGGCGCGGTCGAATGCCGGAGCGGACTACTGGCGAAGTCATTGGGTCGTAGGGAGATCGACGCCCACATGATGGGCATCAACCAGGAGTGCAGGATCGGCGATAGGGCTGCTTCTGAAATTCGGGAGCGGCACAACGCCGAATCAGCAGGGGCGCGGGTAGCCCCGCTCTCTCAGGAACAGCGCGGACGCGGGTGGCCCCGCTCCCCCGGGAAGCAGGTTGCTCTGCCCCCGGCGCCCCGCTGGCAGGAAAGCAGTCTGAGGCGAGTCGCGGCTGGCCCCGCGCACCCCCGCGAGCTGGCTGCGGGCGGCCCCGCGCTAGCTGCGCTTTTCTGCGCAGTGGTGGTCGCGCTTGATCGCCGCAGCTCCGCTGCCGGTAGTCGTGGGAGGTGAGGGCATCTCTCGGCTGCTCGCGCTGTGAACCAACCCAAAAGGTTCTCTCGCAGTGATCAGGGTGTAGAAATCCCCCTTCCGTCGGACTAGTGACTAGCTATAGGAAGGTAGATGCAGGGAGTGGCGTTGGTGGCATGTTAGAGTAGAGCATGGGCAGTGTAGCAATGCATTCTTCCATGGCCCCTTTCGGCGAAAAGCATTTTCAAGGACTGTTCCAATACCTCGGTCTCATCTTCGCGGAGACCTTAATGGAAGATCGGGCTCGCTGGAAGCGACTGGATGTTGACGCCAAGAATGGTGGTGCTACATGGACATCGGTAAAGCCAGCAAGAAGACGAGCGGGGCGAGTTCGGTGCCTGCACGGGGGATCCGACGGAGATTGCGGTGATGAAGGCAACTGGTGGCCAGAGGATGATGATGTATGCGACGGTGGGAATGAATGCCGGAGTTGGGGAGATGGTGACGTGGATCCCGTTGAGAAGAGAAGGGGGCCGCAATGTGACGTGCTGCAACAGTGACCGTCTGGGATGCGAAGCTCGGGGCTGCAGAGACAGGGGGATACAATCTTTAGTGCCAAGGGCAAGGGATACCCCGGCGGACCAAACTTGTGCGCCAGGGGAAACTATGGAGGATGCGAAGGAGCAGGTAGAGCAGCGTTGTTGACGGGTGGTAAAACCAGGCGGTCCAAAGGGGCGCGTGGCCGCTAACTGTATCAAGAGCGCAAATGAAGCGCAGCAGACGAAGAGGGGTCAACGTCGTCAAAGCGGACATGACCTTTGACAGCCGCAACCAGAGATGGATCCTGGGCGTTGCGTGGTAAGCGTGGGTCAGCTTGACCCGCGTGAGAGCCCTTTGGAGACCCCGGCGAGGGCATGAAAATAAGGTGGCGCTAGAGATGGGACGTAGAATCAAGTGCGAAGGTATAGATGTCAGACGTATGGTCACTGCGAAGCACTGGGGCGCGAAGTGGTGTCGGTTGAGGTAAACTGGTCGGGCGACGTGGGCGTCGCGCCCAGTGGCGGCCACGAGTCGAGCGTCGATGCGGTCGTGGTTGCTGTGGGCCGGGAAGCTTGCGGCGCTGCTGGCCCGCCCGCCGTTGCCGCCCATTCCCCCCGGGCAAACTTGAGCCCGAATATAGGTCGTCTCTGCGGTGCAGCAAGCGGTGCAGTAATCGAGGGCCGCGGTCGACGAATGATTTCAGGTAGGAACGTTGTGGGAGACAACGTGACGATGCCCGTGCAAGTCGCCGACGTAGAGGTGCTCGGTTCGGCGAGGGAAATGGTGAACGCGGGTGGCAGAATCGCGTTCGGTAGAGATGCGCGCGGGCGATCTCGCAGTTACCTGGGCCCCGAGGCCCCGGGCAAGAGGGCGGCAACTCAAGTGCAAGTGGGCGTGCCAGTTCGCCGCCGAAGTCCTTGGGCCCAGAGCCGATTTGCAAGTGCAGCGGAGAAGTGGGGAGAACATCGAGGAGGAGTTACCGAGGCAGGGATTCTCCACCCATCCCCGTTCGCCCCGATCGGCAAATCGCAAGGGCGCAGCGCGAGTGCGAGCGGGGGGGGGGGGGCAAAAATCGACGGGGGTTGCGCCGAATCAGCCGGGGGCGAACAGAGTGAAGTGGACGACGATTTCGTGTCTGAAAGAGCTGGGGCCGCGGGCGGAATTTCGTGCGACCTCGCGGTGTAGATATTTATCAGTCGACATTATTGACGTCGGAAAGTGACGTAGAAAAGATGGTGACTGCCATAGAGAAGGTTGCGAGGTCGTCGTCGGCGATGTCAGTTGGAGTGGAAATAGGTCCTGTGGGGGGCTCTGCGGCCGGCGGTGGTGCAGACAGGGCGGCAGGGGCAATGCGTGGACACGTGCGAACGTTCGAGCGCAATTGGTTCCACTTGCAAGACTGACTCTGAGTAACCGGTGCCAGCTGCAGTGGATGGTGTTGCGCGCTTCGTCAATCGCCGGCTAGTTTGCCGCGGGCAGCGATGTGAATGCTGCCCAATGTCGAGGGCGTCGACGTCTAACGCCGTTGCCTGAATTCGGCGAATTGTTTTTTGCATCTCAAAGCTGGCGCCAACGGCATATGCGCGTTGGGTCCCAGATGGGAGACGGGGGTGTTCGAGGGAGTTTGGGATAAGAGTCAAGAGCTTATTGTCGGCACGCGGAGTGACCCGATCACTGGGGTGCGGGCGAACGGGGGGCGAGGGGGACATATAGTGTTTGAAGGAGATGAGCTCGATGGAGGGTATGCCGTGGCAGCCTGGCTTCAATGTCCTAACAACTGAGACGCAACCGAGAGTGGTCGCGACGAGTCGCAATCGCGCCGTCGGCCCCGCCGGGAGCTTTCAGAGACGTGCGTCGAGATGGGGGCTGCCCCCAGGCGCGGCGGATGCCTGCCCGGCGCGCGAGGCGATGCTGGTCATGGGACGTAGGCCGCCCAGAGTTTCGTGCTGATCGTGTATCGTGGGGCGCAGGAGAGATGTGCTCCGGCTTTGCTCCGGTCTGAGGCGACCGCTTGGGGAGGATTTGGCAGACGCGAAGAGGGGCGGGCCCAGTCTCGAAAAAGGGCAAGGACAGCGAACGAGGCAGCGCAGCGCCGAATAATTCGACCGTCGGTCGCGCAAGGAACTGTTTGACCCTGCGAGCGTGCTAGTCCTGAAGTGGCGAGTGGGTATGCTCGAGCCGAGAGGGCGTGTCTCAGACCAGAGAGTCACGCGCGGTGTGGGTGCGCATGCTGAAGACATCGCCGAATTATATGGCATTTCAGGATCCAGCCGCAATCGTCCAGTCGGCAGCGCGTTCGCTGGTTGGGCGGAAATCGACGTCCTAGATGGCAGCGACGAAAGCGGATAACTATGCGACTGAAAAGGGCGGCTGGCGCGATGCCCGGAGAAGAAGAGCAGGCGGGGAAAACTACCCGTGGGGATGCCCGGGAAGACGAAACGATGCAGGATATCAGCCGAGGCCTCATAGGAATGGGCATTGACGGAAGTCTAGCAATAGGGATCGCCGCCGCGCTGGACTCATCAATACCTGCATAAGTAAATGAACATCGTAAGCAAGTCGCGCTGTGCGGCAACAGTCAAGCCACAGTGTATGCGTTCGTAAGCGAGACGTACTCACCAGTTCGCGTAACAGGCATGTCAAACAAGATGGGATTGGCGCAAGATCTTGCCATGGATCTAATCATGGAAGTCCATGGGGCTTCAATGTGCCCGAGATGTGACAGGAAGGCAAAACGTACCATCAACGCCAAGGCAGTCGTGCTACTTGTGGTCTTCCCGATGCGTACCAGCTACGGTGGGCCACTGAAGTTCAGGCAGCAGAGAATGGGTGAAGAAATGGCTAGGAAATCATCGAACTTGGGCTGAAGCACTTGTTAGCCATGGAGGTATGTGAAATACAGAGACGTGGTGGATTATGTTTTCTTATCGGAGGATTCAGGTCATCCATCAAGCTACCGAACGACGCCAGTCATAATACATGCAGAGTCGCCCCATAGGTACACGTTTACCATGATGCCGTGTGCAGCCATAGCAAACTATGGGTGAGAAGGGGCGATGACAAAAGCCTGCGTGGTTCACGGCCAACGCGCCGATGTTCGCTTTTTGAATGATGCAAGAGCTGGCCTGAGTGGAGACGGGTTTTGTGTATTGGCTAGAGATGCCATTTCCGAATTTACATATGATGCCATGTGGGACAGGCGCAGCCACCGATGGAACTGCTCAAACTGTGACCGCGAGGGATGGATGAAGAGGCTGGCCGCACGTGGCAACTGCGGATCTGTCGCCCAAATCGCAGCCTTAATCCGACCTGGGATACTGTGGCACATCAATATGAGGACGGCGTAACAAGAGTTTGGACATATGATGCCAGGGGGAAGCTGATCCCATAGTTGACCACCAAAGCGAGACAAGAGGACAACATTCCATTTCTACAGATGCCAGGTTTCTATAAAAGTCACGGGGAATGAGTGTTGGAGAGAAACTTGCAAGGCGCCTACAGGAAAAGGGTGGGCCGACATCAACCCAGGAGACGATTCCAACCCTGAATGCAAGTCGCGGCTTATGGCGCAGCAGGTGTAATATAGTTCTACAGAGGAGCGTACTTGCAGCCGCTCCACTGCTGGAAGTACACAGGGCAGTATTCTCAATGGCTGTCACGGAAAGTAGAGGATATGAAGCAGGAAAATGAGAAGCACGGACTCGAACAGCCATGGCATACATAGACACTGACGTGCTTCTGTTAAGCACTATCCCAAACAGATATCTACAGCATGCTACCAGCGGAAGACCATGTGCCCGGTAAATATAGCAAGATGATGCAATCAATGTATGGAACTCGATGCGGCCTTTAATTGGGAAGATTGTTACAGCGAGTTTTGCAAAAGAGCTGGATGTACGTCGCGGCGCGCCTTGCCTGCTGTGTCCAAACGCGAACGTGGGAGCATCTGGCATCGCGCGTGGAGACGGCTTCGCCGTGGTGGGGATTGATCTTGACTTCGACTGGTTCGAACAGAAGCGAGGAGGTGTGTGAAGTGAAGGTGGGAGCGGGGCCTGTGGAGATGGTTGGGGAGACAATCCGGATGCTTAGCCGATTCGTGGAGTGGGCCCAGGAAGGAGTGAGGTAGGAGTCTGAACAGGGGCATGCAGCATCTGTATTTGTATAGGATCGGATATTTCTATATATATATAGTCAGAGAGATATTACACATATATATATATAGGTAGAGAGAGAGAGAGAGAGAGAGAGAGAGAGAGAGAGAGAGAGAGAGAGAGAGAGGACGAGCGCGAGAGAGAGGAAGAGAGAGAAACATATATACATAAAGGAAGACAGAGAGAGAGAGAGAGAGAGAGAGAGGAAAAAAAAAGAGAGCTAGAGGTAGTACAGAGAAGGAAGGTGGGAAGTGCCAGGGAAGTTACCCCATAATGAGCAAAGAGAGGGATCACTGGACGAGGCAAATCGCAACCTTTCTCAGGCATAGGATGCCCGGGCCAACTTCCTGACGAAAGGAATTATTCGACGTGTAGTTCACAGTGAAAGAACTGGCCAGGCACATGGCAGCATCTGCGGATGGGTCTTGGCGAACGTTGAGAAAGCTTGAAAAGTGATTGAAGAGCCGCGACAGGACCAGATGCACGTGCAAGTGCCAGAAGTCATCCTCGCAGCATGCCGTGTGGACTGACGCCCATTGCGCAGGATGTAGACGAACGAGGAAGCTCACGATTGGGGGGAATTGTGTGGGATTCACATATAGTCAAATCCTGGAGCGCGGCCAGGTGGTCGCAGTGCTGTCCGGGAAAGTGCAGTATTATGGCATGTTGGAAAGATGCTTCCTTTGTTTTTTTGGCCTGGAGTCAGCGTCGAGGGGTTTTGGCACTTTCTGTGACGTGGAATTTCCAGGTTATGCAATTGCCGCGATTGCAATTGCCAGCAGGCGAGGATGGGGTGCAGTATTATAAGGCACGTTGCGGTGCGTCAGCTGTGCTTGCAGGATGCGCAGTGCAGCCGCGGTGGGCTCTAACCACATCTTGGCGGATGCAGTAATAGTGCGCGCGAGTGGCGAGGGGGCGAGGGCGCGCGTGAAGGGGGCAGGCCAGTGCCGCGAGGAAGGGGGGGTGCGAGTTGGCTCCCGCGACCGAATGCAAGGACATCTGCGGCCGTTTTAAGATAAGTCACAGCGACAGACACCTCCTCTAAATCTCACCTTTTACCCCCCCCCTCTCACCGGTCACCCGGGCGCTCCGTGATGGCAGGCGCAGGCGTGGCGGCTGACGAGCTCGAGCCGATCGCTCAGCTTGCCATAGACGGCCAGGACATTGACCCGACCAGTCCAGGGTCCATAACCAAGGGGGAACCGACTGCCTCGACAACGCACAAGTGTGGTGCGCGGTGCGACTCATTAACCAGGTGCGCGACGCCATCGCCCAGAATGGCCGAAACGACGAAGCGAAGCATTGGGCGAACGTTCGTGCGGCGCGGCTGATGCGCCGCGTAACCGGCGCCGCTGGATACGTCCTTGGAGTTCGCTAGGGGAGTTCGAGACGTTCCAGAACGCCCTGAACGAGATGGTGGAACACGACCAAGAATTGCGCGACCATAGCAGGGAGTTTCATATAGCTAGCGACGAGGCTGCATGGGGGAAGTGGCGAGCGTCTTGGAGGTGAAGCGGCGCGCGACGCCGAAATGCCAGCTAAAGGGGGCGATATATTCAACGTGGGCGACCAGGGCGTCGCCGAGGTTGGCGAGGTGGGCGCGTTGCTGGGCGCTGAGCAGGGGTCGTTTTCCACCCGGCCAGGCGCTGGAGGAAATGCTCTGACGCCCTAAGGCCGTTGACCGTGCCGCTGGTCACCAAGGCGAAAGTCTTGTGAGAGCTAGGGCTATGGCCCGAGGTAGCGCGCCGCCCTTCATGGCGGCGCCGCCCAACGCGGTGGGCGCCCCGAGCGCGTCTGGCCCCAGTGGCCCGCCAAGGTCGGTTGAGCCAGAGAGGGCCGAGGGTCTCGCCGACAAAACGGGTCGTAGCCGGCCCCGTTTAAGGGGGGAACAGGAACAGGGCTTGCGCGCGGAAGTGCCAGGCATGACCCCAGATCATGAGGATGATGCAACGAACGCGTGTGGGCGACGGCAAACGGGTGGCCGAGGGGGCGCGCCCGCGGATGAATCGGAGTCGGGTTCGCCCCCCTCAGAGGCGCCCTACTGGGCCCCTGTCACTGCGCCGCTCGCCAAGCCCAGGGGGCAGAGTGGCTCGTGGGCGCGCTGGCGGGATTGCTAATTCTTTTGTCGCGGTGCCCCGCGGCTGCCTCGTTGAGGTGCGGGGCGGCCCGATCTCGCCGCGCGGCCGCCCTCGCTCTGGCCCCGCGTGCCGGGGGCCGCCAGCTGAGACCCTGAACCTAACGGGTGCAGCCGGGAGGTGGTGGGGCACCGTGTCGCGGGCCGGGCCAATTGCGAAGCGCGTGACCTGGGGGGCCCGTCGGGCAACGTCATCTCCAGGGGGTGCTGCGCCAGTTGCCTGCGCTCGTTCGAGAAGCCGCGCAGCCGCGTTTGCTGCGCGCGGCCCCGGGCCAACCTCGAAGGCTCGCCGGAGTGGCGGGGCGCGCTGTCGGATCGCTGCAGGGATGACTGCGACAGCTGGGCGCGGCTGGGGATGGCCAGTCAGGCCAATTTCCCTGATGGCCGAGGAAGTTGCCCTGGTCCCGGGGTGCCTGACCACGCCCCCCGACTGGTGTGCGATTAGGACACTGATGGGGCCACCCGGATCTACATCAATAGCGCGCCCGGCCTCCAAGGGCAAGAGTGCATTGACATGCTGGCCGTTTGGTTTGATCCTCTGGCCAGAAAGCACCGCCGTGCTGGCCCTCGAAGTGTTTTGCAGCGACTCGTGGGTCCATGCCGATCACGGGGTCGCGCGGACAGGTGCGTTTGCATCTCGCTTGCCAACCCGTGAGCTGTCGCGGGAGTTCATCGATATTGGCGAAAACATGGAAATGTATTACAGATCGGACGCCGTCGCTCAGAAGCCTCGCGGGTATGAGGCCGCGCTGGTGGATGCGCTTGAGTTCGCCCAGTGCCGCGCGAGGCTGTCAGCAACCGCGTGCAGGCGCGAGTCGTTCAGGCAGATGTATATGCGGATGTGGTGATCATTGGGCTCGCTTCCTATCTCCTTCGCCGGGAAGTGTGCCTGGGGGGGGGGAGGGGCGTGTTCTCTTGCGGGCTCCTTTCCCGTCGGGCGACTGCCGCTGGTGGGCCGCTGGCCAGTCTAGCGCAGTCGGCCCTCGCTCAGGGGGGGGGGGGGTGGCGGCGAGCGCGAGCGGGGGGGTGCTGGCCTGAGGTGGGCCGCTTCCCTTCCCGGGCGCCGGGATTTTATTGGCTGGGGGGCCATCGGCAGGTTTCGCGGGATCGACGACCAGTCCGCCAGGAAGAAGCCCAGGATTGACAATGGCGAGGGTAAGGGTGCTTGGCGCGGTAGCGATTGGAACTGTGACGCTCGGGGCGCATGCGCGCCAGGGGGCGCAACCGCGAGGGGGAGTTCCCGCGTCGGCGTGGGCGAGGGCCAGGGCCCAGACGCGCGGCCAAGGTCAACATCAGTCAGGCCAGGGAGGTCATGAGGGACAGCTAACCGACCTGCATCTCTTTCTACTTCATCTTTCTCCAAGGTAAGTCGCGTTTGTTACTGGTGCAATGTCCTAATCACTTCGGTGTGCTTTGTCGCTGCGACTAGCGCAGAAAGATCGGATATCCTGTCATCCTCTAAGCCACCTTTTGCGTTGCCTTTCTGCGCCTGTTCTACGGAACCTTTGCGCCCTATCCTTCGTGAGCGCGCGCGTGATGCTGTTTTCTCTGTGCCTGAGCTTTGTGGCATTTCTGTTGTTCTGTGCGGCGCAGCTTTCGTGCCGTTGATTTTGATCCGCCTTCCGAGGCGCGCGACTTTAAGTCATGTTTGCACGCACCTTGCCCGACTTGGGTCATCAGGTCGAGGCGTGTGTGTGTGTGTATATTTTGATGTAGCCCCTCAGGTAATGAACGGTGCAACCTCCGACGTTTGGCTCAAGTTAATAACCACCTGGTGGCGGTGCGCGACGTGATCGCTCGCTTTCCTCGTCCGCTCGATTACAGAGATCTTTCCTGATTGCCATCTTTCGGTCAAATTTGCAGGCAGAGGAAGACCGTCATATGTGTCACCTTTCGTCATCACTTTTGAATTCTCGTGGTGTTCAATTTGGCCGTTTTGTGGTTTTCTTGGGCTCTTGTCGGGCAGTTGTGGGCGGTCCCTTGGGGTCTTCTTGGGGACATTTTGGGCCGTCCTGGCGCCTGTAGGTCCGTCCCGAGGCTCTCTTGGGCCGTCTCGGGGCCCTTTTGGCAGTACAAACTGGTCTCGTGGGGTCGTCGTGAAGTTTCGTTTTTTCCGGCTTTGCTGGAGGTCATCATGTGGTTTTTTTGGGGGCATCTTGGGGCGTCATGGGGCCATCTTAGGTTGTTTCGGGGCCATATGAAAACGTGTTGGAGGAATCCCGGGCATCCCGGCGGCTTTGATGGCTTGCTTGGGCTGCCTTGGGCGCCAGTTTGGCCATCTTGGACGCCCTGGAGAGCGCCAGGGAGGCATCACGCCGCCCTGCGGGCCTCGGGAGAGGGGTGGTGGTGCATGGGAGGAGACGCGGCGAGAGAGGGGCCCTTTCAGACGCGGCGAGAGGGGGGCCCTTATACTAGTACCGACATCCTACCAAACACGCCCTGACATTCAACCACGCCTCACCGTGGCATGAAACTTGTAGCCTTTTTTTTGGAGGTTGTTTTTGTTTGTTGTTGTTAATTATATGACAATCAAGCGCAACGACGGGCGGACAGAGAGAGAGAAATAGAGAGAGAGAGGGAGACAACGATGGAGAAAGAGAGCAAGGGAAATATAATGAGCGAGAAAGAGAGAGAGAGAGAGAGAGAGAGAGAGAGAGAGAGAGAGAAAGAGAGAGAGAGAGAGAGAAAGAGAGAGAGAGAGAGAGAGAAAGAGAGAGAGAGAGAGAGAAAGAGAGAGAGAGAGAGAAAGAGACTGAGAGAGGTAAACATTTACACGCACATATATTTATGTGTATATATACATACATACATCGATACATGTATTTGTATTTGTATATATATATATGAATATATGTACTTACATCTATAACGATGTGTATATATACATGTGTATGTATATGTATGTGTATGTATGCACATACATATATATGTTTATTTGAACTAATATAGAGAGATGGATAGGGATATATACATATATATATAACGCGGGAGGGAGAGAGAGATAACGAGAGAGAGAGAGAGAGAGAGAAGGAAAGAGAGGGAACGAGAGAGCGAGAGAGAGGGAGAGAGCGTGACCTACGAATATGTGTATTTATTTGTAGATAAAAGCATTTAAGTATTTAAGTATTGAAGTATCTAAATATTTAAGTATATATATGTATATATATGTGTGTAAATACACATGGAGCGAGAGAAAGAGCGAGAGAAAGAGACAGAGAGAAAGAGAGAGAGAGAGAGAGAGAAAGAGCGAGAGAGAGAGAGAGAGATACAGCGAGAGAGAGAGGGAGGGATATATTTTAGATACGAGACCGACCGAGAGAGCGAGAGGGAGAGACATAACGACATAGAGAGAGAGAGAGAGAGAGAGAGACAGGCAGAGAGGGATGGATGTAATGATGGGGGAGGCAGGGAGGGAGGGACACCATACACATAATACACATACTTGTTTCTACCCTCTGTTGTAATTTATATATATGTATATACTTTAGCTCAATTCTGCACGCAGACGCGTCTGCATATGTGAGCATGTATGTGTAGACGTATTTGTTGGTGCACGTGCAGCAACATAGTTATTCACTACATGTGTCTGTCTGTCTGTATGTATGTATGCCTGCGTGCATGCATGCATGCATGCATGAATGCATGTATGTATGTGTGTATGTATGTATGCATGTATGTATGTAGGTGTATGTTTGCATGCATGTGTGCATTATATATAACACATCTGTATAACATTATATAGATGCTTGCATGTACGCGTGTGTATGTCGGTATGCATGTATGTATGCATGCATACATGTATGCATGTCTGTATGCATGCATGTATGCAGGCATGTATGTACGTGGTATGTACGTATGTATGTATGTGTGTGAATGTGTATGTGTATATGTACGTATGTGTGTACATTCGCATATACATGTGCGTTACCCTTTCGCCAAACATTGATAACTGCCCGAAGAGCGCCCCCCCCCCTCTCCCCCCTCACCACGGGCAGGTTGCAGTACACGTACAACGAGCTTTGTTCGCGCGGGCCTGTCAGCGGAAGCGTCGGGCATGACCCCCCCTCCCCCTTCGGGTGCCCTGTTGTCCGCGTGATGCCCCTGTCGTTCGTGCAACCGCGTTTGCTTAAGTCGCCGCCGTCCCCTCCCCCCCCCTCTCCCGCCCGACTCGGGCGCTGGTGGTGGCCGCGGGTTCTCGCATGGTCATCGGGAAAGAATCCAGGACAGCGGTGTGAAAGAAAAATGAATCAGCGCAGAATTGCGATTTAGGAAGAAGAAAAAGCATACTGTATATTTTGGATTTGGGAAATCGTGCAGGTTTGCGGTTTAGCAACAAAGTATGGATGGACATATCCGCGACTAAGGAATAAGGAAATTGCGCAGAAATGCGATTTAAGAATCGCGATTTTGGAACAAGGACGCAATTCAGAATCGTGACTTCGGGATAAGGAAACAGCGCAGAATTGCGCTTCAGGGGTAAGAAACTTGGACTGAATCGTGACTGGGGAACACGGCTAAGGAAACAGCGCAGAATTGCGACGTAGGAACCAGGAAGATGAACATAATCGCGGCGTAGGAATAAGGGAATTGCGCAGATTTACGATTGAAGCATCGCGACTCTGGGCTGAGGGGGCGATTGAGAAACGCGATTTGGGGGTGAGGAGACAGCGCAGAAGTGCAAGTCAGGAGTATGGACAACGGACAGAATCGCAATTGCGGAAGATGGAGTTAATGCAGAAACGCGAGTTAGGAACGAGAGAATAATACAGAACCGCGGTATAGGAATGGGGATGTAATGCAGAACCGCGGTTTAAGAATGAGGCAGTGATACAGAAACGCGATTTAGGAATGCTGGTGAAATCATACAGAACCACAACTTAGGAATGATGAAATAAGGTAGACGCGCGAGTTTGGAATGAGAGAATACACAGTGCAGAAGCGCAGCTTTGGACGTGTAAGCTAATCCAGAACCGCGACTCAGGAATGATGCAATACTACAGAGCCGCGACTTCGGACAGGCAGTATTTCATAACCAAGGCTTTGGAATGAAGAAGTAAGTCAGAACCGTGATTCTGGCTTGAGGAAATGATGCGGCACCGCGATCCAGGACTGAGGGAATGATGCAGAACCGCGACTTAGGAATCGGGGAACACAGAATGCAGAACTGCGATCTCCGAACGGGGGAGTTATGCAGAACCGCGACTTATGAGTGGTGAAATAATGCAGACCCGCCACTTAGGACTGGTGAAATCATGCAGAACAGCGGCCTTGGAATGGGGAAAGAATATTGAACCGCGGTTGAGGGTGAGGAACGATGCGAAAACGCGACGTTGGAAGGAGGAAATGATGCAGAATCGCGACTTAGGAATGATGGAGTGCAGAATGCAGGTCGGCGAATCTGGCGCGAGGGAATCAGTAAGAACCGCGACGGAGGAATTGGGTAGACATATCGCAGAACCGTGACATAGACATGAGGGAATAATGCGGAAACGCGAGTTAGGAATGTGGAAATAGTACACGGCTTCGACTTCGGAATGAAGGATGACTGCAGGAACGCGAGTTACGAATGAGGAACTAATGCAGCACTGCGACTCAGGAATGAGGGGGCAACGACTACATAGCCGTGGCTTAGGACAGCTGGGAGAAAACAGAACCTCGATTTTGGAATGCGGGAAGTATGCAGAACCGCGACTTAGTGAGGACTGAGGAAATACAGCATAATCGCGGCTTTCGGTCGAGGAGTTATAATAGAATCAAGATTTTGGAATGAGGGGGCAATGCAGAGCCGCGGCGTTGGAATGAGGAGATGCTGCAGAACCGCGGCTTCGGAGTGAGGGGGTGCGGGGTGCGGGGCAGCGGCTTGGGAATGGGGCCCAGGTACTAAAGCAGGGCCGCGATTTTGGAATTCGGAAATAGTACAAAACAGCGGCTTAGGAACGAGGAACCAATTCGAAACCGCGACGTGGGAATGAGGGGGTGCAGAATACTGAGCTGAGATCCCGGAATGAGTGAGCATTGCCGGGCCGCGATTTTGGAATGCGGGAATGGCGCCGAACCGCGGCTTAGGAATGGGGAACTAATGCAGAACCGAGAGGAAGTCTTTCAGAATTGCAGCTTAGGAATGAGGAACGCAGAGCCGCCGCATAGGAACATGGAAATAATGCAGGACCGCATTTTTATGTATATATATATATATGTATGTACACATATATATATATATATGTATGTATGTATATATATATATAGGGGGAGGTAACATATAGAGCTGCGATTTTGGATGGGGGAATAATGCGCGCCCGCGGTCTTGGAGTGCGGAAGTAATGCAGCAGCGCGATTCCGGGGCGAGGAAAAATACAGAGACGCGGATTAACAACAGGGAAATAATTCAGGACCGCGGTGTAGGAATGAGGACATACTGCAGAACCGCGGCTCAGGAATGGGGCAATGGTGCAGACAGCGATATAGGAACGAGGGAATCGTGAATGCAGAGCCGCGACTTGGGGCAGTGGCAGCGGGGCGGCGACTTCGTAATGGGGGAATGATGCAGGCTTCAGGGTTAGGGGATGAAGGAAGAATTCGGAGCCGCGGTTTTGGAGCGAAGAACAATGCAGAACCGCGGCTCAAGAATGAGAGAGTAATCCAGAACCGTGACTGAGGAATGAGTGAAGACATGAGGCAGAATCGCGGCGTTGTCATGGGGGAACAATGCGAGCTGCGATTTTGGAATGAGGGGGCAGTGCAGAACCGCGGCTTATGAATGCGGAAGTCTTGCAGCAACTCGAGTTAAACATGGGGCAATAGCACGGGGCCCCGAGTTAGGCGCGAGGCAGTAACGAAGAGCCGCGGCTTATACATTAGGAACCAACGCAGAGCCGTGAGTTTGGAATGGGGCAATTGCGCGGAACCCGCAACTTAGGAATGAGGCAGTAATGCAGAGCCGCGGTTCTGGAATGGGGAAATATTGTAGAGCCGCGACTCGTGGGCGAGGGGATGTGACATGGCCGCGATTGTGGACTGAGGGAATATCGCAGAAACGCAATCCATGAATGGGGCAATCATGCAGAATCGCGACTTAGGACTTACGACTGAGGCAAAACCGAGACCTAGGAATGGTGCATTGCGGGCTGCAGAGCCGCAGTTTTGGAATGAGGGAATCGCACGGTATCGCGCCTTAGGAACGAGGGAATTATGCGCGGCCGCGACTTGGGAATGCAGGAATCATGCAGGGCCGTTGTTTCGGAATGAGGGCGCGATGCCGGGCCGCGACTATGGGGCGGGGAAATGATGCGCCGCCGCGACTTATGAACGAGGAAACATAGAAGAACCACGAATTGGGCGGGGGGGGGGATGCAGGGCCCTGGCTTTGGAATGAGGGAGTGCGACGCGACCGCGACGTCGGAAAAAAGGGAGATCATGCAGTGCCGCGGCTTTGTAATGAGGGAATAATGCAGAACTGCGTCTCAGGGCTGCGGGGAGAATGCAGCGCTGCGACTTGGGAATGAAGGAATCATGCGTAACCGCAACTTAAGAATGGAAGAGTAGCGCAGAACAGCGAATATGGAATTTAGGAAATGGTGCAGAACCGCGACTTAGGAATGAGGGGTAGACGATGCAGAACCGCGGCTTTGAAGTGAGGGAATAATACAGACCCGCAACATAGGAATGGGGAAGTGATGCAGATCCGTGGTCAAGGAATGAGGGTTGAACATGATGCGGATCCGCTACTTAGGAATTGGAGATACTGCAGCAGCGCGATTGGGGAATGGGGGAGCATTGCAGCACCGCGACATAGGAAAACATATATCATGATCCAGAAGCGCGACTGTGGAGTGAGGGGATCATGAATGCAGAACCGCGAGAATGAGGGAATGATGCAGAACCGCGATTTAGGACTGGGGAGATAGCGCAGAAACGCAAATGAACAAATCGCACAGAGCCGCGACTTAGGAGTGAGAAAATTATGCAGAACCGCGAATTAGGAAGGAAGCAATGACGCAGGACCGCGACTTAGGAACGGGGAGATCTTAGACAGCCGCGACTTAGGAATTGAGGGGATAATGAATGCAGACAGCGATTTTCGAATGGGGGGGGTCCGCGTCGCAACGAGGGAACAATGCGCAACTGCGACTTAGGAATGAGAAAATAATGCAGAACCGCGATTTCGATATGAGGGAATAATACAGGACCGCGGCTTAGCAATGGCGAAGTAATGCAGCTCCGGTTCTGGATTCTTTCCTCGCTCCTTCGCAAGTCGCACTTTTGTTTTATTCCCTCTTTCCAAAGTCGTTGACCGGCGTTCTTTCTTCATCAGTTAGTGGCATTTCTGTATTATCTCCTCGTCCCTCAGTCGCGGGTGCGCATTCTTTCTGCATTCTTACGTCGCGCTTCCGTATCATTTCTTCATTCCAAAGTTGCGGTTCCGTGTTAATTCCTTCATTCCTAAGTCGTGGTTCTGGTTAAATCTTCGTTCCTAAATCGCGGTTCTCTCAGTGTTCTGACCTCGTTCCTAATTTGCGGCTTTGTATGTTTGATTCTTAAGCTCGGGTTTAACATTGCCTCTTCATTCCCGAGTCGCGGTCCTGTCTTATTTCGTCATTTCAAAGCAGCGGTTCTGCATTATTTCCAGATGATTTCGTTCCTTCTCTGAATTAGTCCTTCATTCCTGACCCGCAGTTCTGCGTTCTTTATTCCATCATTCCCAAGTCGCTCTTCTGTATTACTCTTTCATTCCTACGCCGCGATTATGTATTTTTCTTCGGTCCCAAGTCGCGTGTCTATATTCTTTCCTCCTTCCTAAGTAGCGATGCTGTATAAGCGCTTCATCCTAAGCCGCAATTCTGCATTATTCGCTCAGTCCGAAATCGCGATTCTGTATCGTTCCCTCATTCCAAATTCGCGGTTCTGTATACTTGATTCCCTCCTTCCTGAGTCGCGGTTCTGTATTATCCTCTCATTTCGAAGTCGCGGTTTTGTACCAATTCTTCATTCGTAAGTCGCGGTTTCCTATTTTTTCCTCAGTCCAAATGCGCGGTTCTGCATGGTTCCGTCGTTCCAAAGCCGCGTTTCTGTATTGTTTATTATTTAATTCGTTCGCGCTTCTGTGCTATTTCCTTTTTCCTGGATCGCAGTTCTGTTTTGTTTCGTCATTCCAACGTCGCGTTCGGGTGATATTTCTGCATTTCTAAGTTGCGCTTCTGTATTATTTCCTCATTCATATGTCGTGGTCTGTATTATTCCTTCATTCCAAAGTTGCGGTTCTGCATTCTTGGTGCTCTCAGTGCCCTCATTCCCAAGTAGCGTTTTGTATTATTTTTCGTTCCTGGTGTAGCGGTCCGGCAGTATTTTTTCATCATTCGTAAAATGGCGGGTTCTGCATTGTTCCCTCGTTCCTCAGTCGCGTCTCTGTATCATTTCCTCGCCCCCAAACGGCAAATGTGTTTTATGCCCGCATTCCAAATTTGCAGTTCTGTATCCTTTATTCCCTCATGCCTGCGTCGTGGTTCTGTATTATTCCCTCGTTCCTATATGGCGTGTCTCTATTATTTCGACTTTCGTAAGATGCGATTTTACATCATTTCCTCATTCCTACGGGGCGGCTTCTGTAATGCTCCCTCATTCCAGAGTAGCGGTTCTGCATTATTTTTCCCCGGTTGTAAATTGCCTGTATCATTCCATCGTTCCAATGTTGCGGTGGTTTATTGTTTGTTCTTCATGCCTAAGTAGTTCTCTATCCTCTCATTCCTCTGCCCCGATTTTCTATTATTTCTTCATTCCTAAAACGCGGTTCTGCACCATGTCCTCATTCCGGAGTTGCGGTTCTGTGTGATCTTCGTATTCCCCACTCGCGGTTCTGTATTATTTCCTCATTCGTGAGTCGCGGTTCTGTATTGGTTCCTCCTCCTCTTGCACAGGGCTTCTAGAGCTCCGACCATTTTGTTCCGCGTCGCCCCCCCCCGCGCCCCCAGCGCCAGAGTGGGGCCCCCGCGCCGTGGCCCTCTGCCCCGAGACCCCCCGCGTGCCCAGCGCCCCAGCGAGAGCCCCGCCCACTGCCCCCCTCCGCCACGAACGGTTTTTTCCGCGTTGCACAACCCCCCTTTCCCCCGCGTCCCTAGCGCCAGAGTGGGGCCCCCGCGCCGTGGCTCTCTGCCCCGAGCCCCCCCGCGTCCCCAGCGCCCCAGCGGGGGCCCCGCCCAATGCCCCCTTCCGCCACGAACGCTTGATTCCGCGTCGCACCCCTCCCCCCCCTCCCGCGCCCCGGGCGCCAGAGTGGGCCCCCGCGCCGTGGCTCTCTGCTCCGAGCCCCCCCGCGCCCCCAGCGCCCCAGCGGGAGCCCCGCCCGCTGCCCCGTCCACCGCGAACGCTTTACTCCGCGTCGCGACGCGCGCCGCCTCCCCCACCTCCCTCCCCGCGTCCCCAGCGCCCCAGTGGGGGCTCCGCCCCGTGCCCCCATCCGCCCCGATAATTTTAATCCGCGTCGCGACGCGCGCCACCTCCCCCCCCTCCCCCGTCCCAACGCCCCAGCTGGACCCCCGCACCATAGCCTTCTGCCCCGAGCCCCGCCCAGTGCCCCCTCCGCCCGGACCATTTTATTCCGCGTCGCGACGCGCACCACCTCCCCCCCTCTTCTCCGCGCCCCCAGCGCCTCAGTGGGACATCCGCCTCGTGCCTCCTCCGCTCCGAGCATTTCATTCCGCGTCGCGACGCGCTCCACCTTCCCCCCCTCCCCACCTGGGATTTGGGCCCCGTTGCTTGGCCCGAAGGGCGATGTCTTGCCCCCTCTTCCCCCCTCCTCCACCTCCTCCTCCTCCTCCCCCTTCCTTTTTGTGCAAGAGCTATGCCACGCGTGCCACTTGTTCCGAAGTCGCGGTTTTATATTATTTCCTCATTACTAAATCTCGGTCCGCATTCTTTATTCCTATATTCCCAAGTCGCGGTTCTGTACTATTTCCTCTTTCTGGAGTCTCGGTTCTGTATTATTTTCTCATTCCCAAGTCGCGGTTCTGCAGCGTTTCCTCATCCTACAAACCTCGTCAAAAATAAGCCGAAGACTTCTGACTTCGGTGATTGTGGGGTCAGCGCTACTCCAATGCTGACGGTTTCCCGTTGACTCGGACGCGGTGTTGTCCAACAGCCGACCACACCCCATCAGCATTGAAGAGCGCGCTCTCTGACAAGTGCGCGGCATCATCGTGCTCCAGGATTTCAATTTCCATTTCTGGGTATTTTTGACGAGGCGGGTAAGTCGCGGCTGTGTATTATCTTCCATTCCTAAGTCGCGATTTTATATTTTTCTTAGTTTCTAAGTCGCGATTCTGCAGTATTTCCTCATTCCTACGCAACGATTCTGCTGTTTTCCATACTCCCGAGTCGCGATTCTGCGCTGTTCCCTCAACCGTCAATCGCG